TGCCCTCAAAAGCAAGACATGAGAAACTGAAAAAAGCCGGTAGAGTACATGACCTGTGCTTTACAAAAAAACACACCAGTGCAGAGATGGAAAGACTGGTTCGAACTAATTTTCCATCCTTGGTCGGATGGGACCTCTCTAGGTAAGGGTCTTTAATTACTGCTTAAACTGTGTCGTACTTCTATTCTGATAAGTGTCAGGATAAGGGTCATTCTTTCGCAGGTTACTAATACTGAAGTCTTACTCGAACGGACGCTCGATGCAAGAAGTGTTTTGTGGCGTCCCTACAGGGAAAGTTGTTGCAAATGAATTTAAGGGTTCGACCAAGAAAAAAGTATTTTTGTACTTGCTACGGTCAGGAGGTAAGACTTATGTTAAAGTTTCTAACAACCAGCTTCGATACTCGTGGAATTCGCTACGTCCTTGTTTGCAACATATTCGCTACACATTACTCTCTGTAAACCACCGAAAATGTTCCCTTAATCGCGCTAGAAAAAAAATATTTTAACATATCTCTCGTTCTTTTAAACTTGCCCCTCCGAGGGTGCAAGTTTTGGCCTTTGTCAATAAGCAGCGAGACAAATATGTAGGTAACGAACTCAAACGTAGCGAATGAAAAGAAAACGCTTGACATTCAGTGGGGCAGAAATCTGGGACATGACTCTTTCCTGACCTGACCTTCCATTTACAGTGTTAACTAGGGGAATATGTAGAATTGATTACATTTTTTTTTGCTTTCCATCCACTCTTTACTTTGGGTCATTTATGAAAGATTTAGGAAATCGTTTATCCTCGGTGTATGTGTCGAGATGCTCGAAAGAGTTCATTGTAGTAATTTTTATTTCTTAATATATTACATGTAACGTTGGCTTCTTCCTTTGGTTTTTTTTTTCCGTCTTTTCTCGGACCGTACAAATGCCTAAAAGTGACTTGGTTAATATCCAGACAGAACGACCTGGTGGTTGGCAATTTGAGCCCCGCCCCCAAGATTCTTTACAAGCAGGGTTAATAAGTATTATTAGTTACTTGCAAGGGAAGGGTATTGAAAACAACATTGTTGGTTAAAAACTGAACCTATAATCCAATCCCCAGGCTATTGGACACCACTTTTGTTTGTTATTTTTTGCATGTTGGCAGGGAATTGGTTGTGTAATTCCAAAGAGAAAGAATAATAATAATAAGAAGAAGACAAAGAAGAAGAAGAAGAAATAAAAACACATAAACATGAACATTGTAAATTTAAGTGCATTTGTCGCAGTGAACCGACCAGAGGCATGAAAATGAAAATAACCGATTTCGACGAAAACTGGTGTGATTAAACTACTTCTTTTGGTCGTTAATATGCACAGTTTTAGATTCATCAAACCTTTCCTTGACAAAACAAGGTAAGGTCAAAGGTCAAGCCGAAATTGCCGGCAATTTATCTCTACAGAAAAGCAAATATTGACATTTTTTAAACATGTATTTCACAACTCCAAGACGTAGCGAATCAAAATAAAGTTAGTACCAGTGAAGAACTATACAAACTCTTGAAGGTTATTTAAAAATTAATTCTGTTTCTGTTGAATTTCATTTTAATAGTCTTCGGGAATAACCTGCCCTAATTCGTAGGAGTGTTTTGCCATAAAAGCGGTGTTTTTAAAAATCTTTGAATTATGCATTCCAGCATTCTATTAATAAAACTTATGCTCTGTGACAAAGGTAATGAGCTATATATTGAAATAGGAAAGGAAAATGTTTGGGCAGTTTTGTTTTCTAGGATCTTTTTGTGAGTGCGTTTAGTCTATTTAGCCAGTTTCAAGTTGTGTGACACAAAATAAAACGATGTTTACTTCATTGCTGTAGAGTATTATTATTTCGCTGTAACGGGTAGCTAGACCTAAAGGTGAGTGACATTCTTAGTCATCTTAGGTACTTAACGACCCTTTTGTTAATAAGCGTGCCAAAAAGGTACAGCACACTTTTGGGGATGTCCTTCAAAAAGTTTTCAAACAACGAAATCAGAAAGTGAGTATTGTTTGATTCAACAGACACCGCAGCTTCACGAAACTTATTGCTGGGGCTTTTAATTAATCCTTTGAAATTTTCAGTCCTTTCTCGATATTTTGTGCATATTTACTAAGGATGGATCCAGGAATGGTATGAATCCTCCTTGTAACTGGCTAACATTGCAGACTTACTGCACGTGAGCCGCGGTTATAAAGCGTGGGAACAGAGATCTCTTATTGGCTACGGCTGAATGGCACATTTGAGAAAAGGGAGATGTTACTTGAAGCCATTTGTAAGATTTTTCTAACGGAGCAGTTGCATATGGACGAGAAATTATTTAGATCTATATATTTTTCAACGATGCCTCGGTTAATGCAGGAAAGATATGTTTTGTTCATTTACGTGAGCAGCAAGCTCAATTCCTTGTGGCAATCGACAAGTGAGAGAAGAAAACGGCA